CGACCCCCCGCCCCGCCTCAGCCTCGCTCCACAGCGGCGCCACTTCCGCCAGCCAGGGCAGGGCTGCGCCGCCGCCGCGTCGGCCCCTCGGCCCAGCCAAAATGGCGGCGGCCCCGCCCCATCCAGGCCCCACCTCAGCTCCGCCCCAGAGCTAGGCCCCGCCCCATCCAGGCCCCACCTCAGCACCTCAACTCCGCCCCTGAGTTGGGCCCCGCCCCCAGCCCGCCAGGGGAAATGGAGGAAAGGCACGAATAGTTATACATTTATTTATAATGCAATTATGGGCCTGACTATTTACAACGTGTAGGAAACCGAAGACGACGTTTGTACAAGCCAGCCAACCCGCCAGGCAGTCAAATGTGCAAAAAAGTGACGTTTGTCCAGTCTTTCTGCTCCCTCGGGACGCTGACGCTGTGTCCGCGCACAAGCTGGTTCGCTGAGGTTTGGGATAGGATTAAAAAAAACCCCAAAAAACAAAAACACACAGTTCTTTTGGCAATAAGTTGCCATGCTGAGGGCCGAGGCAGCGCTGCTGGTCAGTCACTGTAAACAACACGGCAACTCATTCGGAGGTTGCGCTCCCGCACTCCTGTGGGGCAGCAGCGCTTGCGGTCAGCTCTCTGGAGACATACAAACCAGGCTGCTATGTTTCTTTGTTAAACAAATCACAAACAAAACTGGTAGAATAAAATGAGCAAGCGAATGATCAGGAGACTACCAGGATCGTGGCCAATAGTTCCACATCAACCGACTGGATGGGATGAAATGCACCGGCGTAACTCAAGATTAAACACCACTGATGTACAAAGTAAGTGTGAGGATTACCAGTGAAACAGATCGATTCAGAATAGAATGTTTTGGGGGACCCACAATATCCCCCCAATACATTTGGCTAGAACCAAGAGTTATTTTGAGTTACTGAAACAACATTTCAAAGGTAAAAAAAAAAAAATTAAACACTGAAATACAGGGTGCGCCTAAGGTAAGTACAATTAGGAATTTAGGGCAACATGATCCTTAAAACGAAATTTTAATGTACAGGTGGCTCCTTTCACCTCTGAAAGATTGAAACATTACATTGTTATCATCACTAACTCGATGGGACTGCAAACACAGGGCGACAGCAAGAAAAATCAGTTAGTACAAACAGAAAAATTGAAGTCAGCCTGCCTGGCTCTCTCCATTTCTGAGGCTTTCCTGGGCACATGGGAAATGCCAGGGGAAGAGACCTCCTTGTTCTTACTCTGGGAGCACCTTCCCTTACTGCGTGTGAGAGATACTGTGCTCCATTAAGGATGCAATTTCAAACAAACTTTTCATAGATGCCAAATCCACTGCAGAAATAAAGAGTTTAAAAATATGAGAACCCCTTTCAAAAGGGAATACTGCACCATTAGCTTCTGCTAAGGTAAGAATAATGTATATTCGCAAAGTTCATTTTGTAATATACATGCATTATTGCTAGAGAAAAAAAAAAGATGTAACCGAGGGATACAAAAACTTCTGTTGCTTCTATGGTGCCATCCAAAATGGCATCTGTTGTTTTGCTCGCTGCTGTGAAGAAGGATACTGGTACCCCAAACTCCATCCCTGTGAAAAAGTACTTGCATTTTTATGGGCACCATGTTCTTCTTCTTCATCTGATGAGTCCCCAGTATAAGCCACCAATCCAAATCCCTTTTCTGCAGTTTTCATCTTCTTGGCTGGATGATCTAGAAGAAAAAAAAAGAAGCAGCCCACCCCCCAAGAAAACGGGGGAAAAAAGAGAGAGAGATAAAAA